TCCTTCCTTCCTTCCTTCCTTCCTTCCTTCCTTCCTTCCTTCCTTCCTTCCCTCCGCCCCTTCTTTCCTTCTCGCCAGTCCTTTCCAGCCTTCCGCACATCTGGCCTCAGCCTCTCTTCTCTTCTGCCCCCACAGCGTGGTGAAGGTGCTGCTGGCAGCGGGAGCCGACCCCAACCTGGGAGATGAGTTCAGCAGCGTCTACCAGACGGCCAAAGAGAAGGGCATCCATTCGTTGGAAGGTAACCAAACTCACACCGCGCTCAGAGGTCTCCTCCCCACCTCAGGATCCCCTGGAGCGTAGGACTTCCTCTCGGTCTTCCTAAATGCGTCTCCGTCTGGGTTCTCTCTCTCTTTTTATTTGCAAGCACAAACCAAGGCCTGGTGGCCCAAATCTCACCAAGAGGGACCCATGTTCTAGATTAGGGGTCTCCAGCCATGGCGACTTTACGGCTTGTGGACTTCAACTCCCAGAATTCCCCAGACAGCAGCCATCACTGCTGGTTTTAACCGAGGGGTTTGAAAATGAGTGTAAACGTTTGCGCTAATCTGTTGACTAGATAGATAGATAGATAGATAGATAGATAGATAGATAGATAGATAGATAGATAGATAAGTAGGGATAGAGATAGATAGATAGATAGATAGATAGATAGATAGATAGATAGATAGATAGATAGATAGATAGATAGATAGGTAGGTAGATAATAGATAGTATCACTAGCTGGATACCCGTATTTTGGGGAGGAAAATAAGAGGGGGAAGGGGAATTCTGCCTCTGCCTACCAGCATCCATGGGTATTCATCTGGCTAGCGTCCTGTCAATGTGTGAGAGAGTGGAGGGCTGTTTGGAAACTGAAGCAGTATTTGCTGGGTGAGCATGAAGGAGACAGCAAGGAGCCTGGGCGTGGCTTAGCTCAACCGTTCTGTACTAAAGCTGCTTGGTGCTGTGAAAGTGAAACTCCTCTGCTTGGGTTTTGCATTTGGAAGGGATTTCTTTCCAGGCTGGGAGGGGGAGTAGAACTCTTTAGCATCAGAGCGCGTTAATAATAATAATAATAATGATAATAATAATAATAATAATAATAATAATAATAATAATAATAATAATAATAATAATAATACGGGAAATACTCTAAATGCTCTGAGGGTCATTTGGAAAAATCCTTTCTTAGTGAGCCCCTAGAAGCCGAGAGGAAGATACGGGCCGAATTTCAAGATTGTAGGCTTTACGGTTCTGGAGACTTTGTGATGATGCGTGAGGGGTAATTTCGCTTTTATATATATAGAAGAAATTAGATGTTGGGTCAATTAGATTATCAGGCAGACTTCCTCATCTGAAATACTTGTTTATTCAATATAGTATTTTTCTTAAATAAAGACAGGAAAGCTTGTAACAATTTGTGGACCCCTTATATGTAAGTGGAAGAAAACCTTTCTGTTTTTTTTTATTTTTTAATATATATGTATTTACTTTTCAGCACCCAGCCAGGATGGATTGTCTGTGTTTAATGTTAGATCTATTTGACATTTTGGGGGTTTCCCCCTTTTTTTTTTTTTTTTTGGTACACAAGAATCACCATAAAGGAGAATTACTTTTTTGCTCATTTGTCAGGTGTTGGGTTTTCGCTTTTCTGTTTTGTTTTTCTTGTTGATAAAAATAAATAAAGACAAGTAGTCCTCAGTGTACAACAGTTCACTTAGTGACCATTCAAAGTTACAGCAGCACTGAAAAAAAGTGACTTGCGACCATTTTTCACACTTAACGGCTGTTGCACATGAGCAAAATTCCGACCCTGGGCAACTGGCTCGCGTTCCTGACGGTCGCAGAGTCCTGGGGTCACGAGATCCCCTTTTGTGACCTTCCGACAAGCGGTGTCAATGAGGAAGCCGTTTTCACTTAACAACCATGTGACTCACTTAGCAACTGCAGTGATTCACTTAACAAAGTGTGGCAAGAAAAGTCATAAAATGGGGTAAAACTCGCTTCACAAATTTCTCCCCTAACATACATTTTGGGATCAATTTTGGTTGTAAATCGAGGACTACCTGTAGATAGACAGAGAGGTAGGTAGGTAGGTAGGTAGGTAGGTAGGTAGATGGATGGATGGATGGGTGGATGGGTGGATAGACAGACAGACAGACAGACAGACAGACAGACAGACAGACAGACAGACAGACAGATGGATGATAGATAGATGGATAGATAGGGAGAGAGAGATACAGAGATAAAAGGATAGAAGATAATGGATGGATGGATACATACATACATACATACGGATAGATAAATACGGATAGATAAATATGGATAGATAGATAGATAGATGGATGGATAGAGAGAGAGATATAAAGGGATAGAAGATAAGAGATGAGAGAGAGAAAGAGGGATAGATAGATAGATAGATAGATAGATAGATA